CACTATCAGTCCATCGGATCTTTTTAAGTGCATACATTGTTCTAACTTCGCTTAAAGGCTTTCATATTTTTGTTCCTTGATTTTTACTTTTTCAGACTATCCAAACATAGTATTAGACCGTATGAAAAATGGTGGAAGTATGTTTGTAAAGAATGCTGCCAGTACTTTAGTTTTTACACTACTAAACATACCAGACCAAACAGAGATAGTAGTTAAACTATCAAAATCCTTGTTAACAGATTTAGATGCATTATCACAAAATACCTCAAAATCTAAAAATATGGACTATATATCCTGTATACTGTCATTGTTTTATGAACTTGGTGACTCTGACAACTGGAGACTGAAAATTGATACTGATTACTTCTCACAAGTTATATATTCCTGTTTAAAACTATATCAAACTTTACCTCTGTTATATATACAGATATTATCAGATGTTATAGTCAAGTTTTTCAAAGTGATGTAAGTAGTAAGTCTTTTACAAGCTGTGGAAAGTTTAATTGACAAGTGCTCATATTATGCTGTGAATATATGACTTTAAGTGTTAGGAAAAGGAACAAATAAGTCAACAAAGAGAAAATTTTATGGTACCAGAGCTTGAATACAAAGTCCTCATCAGGACAGCTGATTTCATCAAGATTTGTTATTCTATTTCAGAGATGGTAAAGACAGAGAAGAGTTTATCAATAAAGTTGAAAATGATATCAAACTATTGGTGAGAGTTGATGTGATGAAATCTCACCATGCTGCCTGTTATTTAATTCAGTGAGTTTATTTATAATTTTGAATATAATGGGCACTTCTTCTCACCATCCAGAATATATGAATAAACCTGTAAAAGTTAATAATGCTTACTCTTTTTGACCCCAATTAGACATCTTATTCTAAAATTTCAAACAATCTCTATTGTTTATGCTATATAAATAATAAGTTTTTCTTTATTTAAATACAGAATATGTCCAAGACTAGAACATGTAGCTTCTATACCAAGTGATATAATGTTTAATCAAAATAATGATTATCTAAATACCAAGTCAGTGATATCTAAAACAGTATTATCATCAGTTATTGTACAGTATTTATCATGTGATAGTAATACAGTTAACATAGTAAGTCATTTATATTTAATATAGGGGAATACCCACAGTCAGTGTGCAAAATTCTGAAATTATTTGTTTTTTTCCTTTTTAACCCTTTGAAATATGGGCAACTCTCTTGATCAGTTTTGTTCTGACAAAGTTTGTCTCATGCATATCTGATGTTGCTCTTTTTTCTTTAGTATATACAGCTGTATGTCTACAAATAGTAAATCAGATGTTGCTGTCAGCGTCAAAGACATTTGGTTATTGATATATAACAAGATTTTGCTTTCCAAATTGTAGTTATTCTTTTATCAATTTATTATAGAATGAGCAGATAGAACTGATGATAAAGTGTATAAAGATTATACAAGATAAAGATGATCACCAATATAAACATTATTTACTATCCAATAAATCGTTATTATCCAAAATCTTACATCATTTACACTATAAACTAAAACTAGGTAAGATAGTTCACTACATTACCAAAACCATGAAACCTCCTTATGGTACAAGTAGGGGAGATGAGTGTTATTTTGGTAACATACATCAGCTATTTTCATAGTTATTTTTGTTGTAGTTACATGTAAAGATTTGAAAGACGAAAAGTTTAATGAGATCTATTGTTTACTATTGGATGCTATTTCAGCCA